TTTGTAATCCTGGTTTTTCCGTCAAATGTTTTAGCTTCTGTAAAGACATTGAAAAAGAGTTCAGCACAGTGCTGCAAGAATGCATTTGTTAACTGAAATCTTTTGGCTACTACCCAGATCAAACACAACATTGGCATGCTACCTTCACCCCAACTTCTGGGACATACTGAAAGGTAAAAGAATTGTAAAGTAATCAAAATATATGTGATCTATATAAATTTTTAAAAGGTTAACTAGAATGAATCTACCGTAAGCAGGAGAAAGTGGGCATGGATTCCACTGTTTGTAGTCAAAAGTTTGTCATATAGAATTATTTAATTAGTGCTAATAGCACAGTAATAAAATTGTTACTGGGGTATGTAGGGTTCTTCATTGAAAATTTTAGGAAGATATTCTTTGGTCAGTTTATTTTATGCTCTATTTCAAAAATGGTTCTCTGTCTAAACACAAACTACAATAGCACTAGGCATAAGGTAAATGTAGGCAGGATGTCTTCATCCACTAAGACACTCAATACTGTATGTAGTGGGAAGTATCTTCAATTCACAGCTAAATCCCCAGTTTGCTATCCTAGTTTTGATTTCTGTTCTATTCTTCTAGGTAAGATATATATATTTCTTTATTAAATATATATATTTGAAACCTATAATGTAAGATGGAAAATATCCAGGATAAAATATAACTATCTACTGTATCTCTCTGACTTTTGCTTAAGATATAGCTGTATGGGCCAGATCTTTTCTTTACTTACAAATGTACAACCACACTGATGGCAGAGGGGTTGAGTATGTGTAACTGAGAGAAGAATGGCTCTTATGTCTTTCTGTGTCATTAATATCTTTCAGGGGCCACTTTCCTTTGACTTCTCTCAGATTTCCTGAGTCATAGACAGACAGTCTCTGAGATTCACTGCTACATCATTTAGGACCCAATCCCAAAAGTACCCTCAACTTTCATTGAAAGTCAAAATGAGATCAAATGGGTGATCAAAACATTACAAGATGAAACACTTATTTTTCTGTTTATTTGAGTGATGTGATCACTACAAATGTGATGACTGATCCATCATCACTGACTGCACATCTGGACTTCAGGGTCCATGATATGGCCAAGTCATTTCAGGATTTAGCCCATTTATATCAAAGAGAGTTTTGCCTGAGTAAGCACTTCCAAATTTGGCCATATACGAGTTACTGTAATAAAGAAAAAAATGATTCAATTATCAAGGCAATACCTGTGCGAACTCTCTTTGAAGTATTGATCTTCTTAGCACAAGTTAAAACTTCCACAGATATTATATATTCATAACCAGGAACCAGATCTCCAAATGCTATCGATGTTTCGTTCGTAGTGCTCTTATTCTTCACCATGTTATCCCTCAACAGATACACAGTGTAAGGGCTGTCTCTTGTCCCACCTTGAGGTTTCCAATTCAACTTTATCACTTCACTGGTTACTTTCTCAAGTTGTAGGGAAAAAATAAGTGAAGCTATAAACAAAAAATGAAGTTGCTGTAAGTCATGGATTTGCTTAATTTTTGTGAGTCAAAAATAAATCTTAGTTTTCAAATACTTATTTTAGGTAAAACTAAATTATTTGCAGAATTTATAACTTAATCAAATTCTTCAGTATAGTTTAGAAATAGAGTTCCGGATCATATTTGGTCTCAATATTTAAGTCACTACTATACTCTAAAATACTGTCTAACCTCTTATTTGTTACTATAGCCTATTTGGCTGTATTTCATTTGTTTAGCAAACAGTACTCTAAATCTTCTGAGGCAAGAGGCTGTAGCAGTTAACAGGTAACAGTTCAAACAGGTAACAGTTCAAACGTCTGATTTCAGAAAGTCCACATATTTCAACGACTGGATGAAGAATCCCTACATGTAGAACAATTTCTGATTCACTGTATGACATCTTTCATTCCTAAAGCCATAGTTTATTGGATTTCTTACTCCCACTTTCCAATATAATACTTATTTAAAACCAAGTATATTTTCACAGGTGACACCGGAATTTATTCTTATATTTTCTTTTTCAATCTTTAGTAAAAAGCACAAATATACTTACTGCAAGTTCCTTGTGGTAATGTAGTTTCCGTGATAGCTGAAACAGTGCCAGCTTCAGGTGCTGTACTTCTAACTGTGGGCTCTGTATTCTTCGAGGAACTATCTCCTGCTGTTACAACTGTAGCAACAATAACTGTGGATTTGCTAGTTAATGATGTCTTAGTAGGATTAGCAGGAATTATTGTTGTGGCTGTAGTTGGTGAGGAAACAGCTATGTTGGGTGTGGAAAAAGTAGAAGAAACCTGAGATATTGTAGTGTTCGAAAAGGTAATAGGTATGACAGATTTAGCTGTTGTGGAGGAAATCGTGACACTTTCATTGGCAGTTATCCTTTCAGTAAGTGTAGAAATTTGGACAGAATTTGAAATAGAATTAGATACCGATGAACTTTCAGATGTTGATGAAAATGAACTGTCTAAACCAGTGAGGGAAGAAGAGAACATAGTTCTGGAAGATATTTCTGCTGGAGTTTGTGCCGTAGAGCTTAGGTGAGTCATTGGATTGGTTCCTACAGAAGCTGTACTTTCATCACCCAATTCAGAAGCTACAGAAGCAGTAGAGGAGACCTTCTCCGTGAAGGCAGGTGGGGTGTTGGATTCTCTATCAGTGATATCGCTACGTGTGCTGCCTATGAGTACTCTTTCTGTGTTTGGAACCGTGTTACTACTGCCAGTGATTTGAGAAACCTCTGTCTGCGAAGGACTATTAGTGGTGACGGTAGATGTTGCGGTTGGTGCCACTGTGCTGCTGTCCGGAATAACAGTGCTCACCGGAAGAGCTGACTTCTCTGTATCTGTGCTGGGCATCTCTGCAGTCGAACGCACTGAGGAATGGCTCAGGTCTGTTGCAGTTACGTCGTTCAGAGTTCTTTGGTTAGAGGAAGATGTTACCTCCTCCTGTGTACTCAGTTCAGAGGTAACCACTGATAATTCAGCTTTTGTAGACGTAACACCCAAGCTGGATTCCATGACAGTCGCAGAAGGAGTAGAGGCTGTTTCTTCGGTGCGAGCATTACTTGTGACCGGAGACCCCTGCCCACTGACACCGACAGGAGCAGTTTGCTCGCTTGCCTGAGAAGCACTCTTTGATACAGGTGAGGAGGAATAAGAGGTGCTGGATTCTGTTTTGGAGGGGTTTAAAGTCGCTGTGTCATCACCTGTTCTTGTTGTTGACAAAGGCAGCGTTGTTTCTGTGGAGAATCCAGTTGTGGCTGGACTGTTGGAAGATATTTCTGCTGGTGTCTCTGCCGTAGTACTTAGGTGAGTCATTGGATTGGTTCCTACAGAAGCTGTACTTTCATCACCCAATTCAGAAGCTACAGAAGCAGTAGAGGAGACCTTCTCCGTGAAGGCAGGTGGGGTGTTGGATTCTCTATCAGTTATGTCGCTACGTGTGCTGCCTATGAGTACTCTTTCTGTGTTTGGAACGGAGTTACTACTGCCAGTGATTTGAGAAACCTCTGTCTGCGAAGGACTATTAGTGGTGACGGTAGATGTTGCGGTTGGTGCCACTGTGCTGCTGTCCGGAATAACAGTGCTCACCGGAAGAGCTGACTTCTCTGTATCTGTGCTGGGCATCTCTGCAGTCGAACGCACTGAGGAATGGCTCAGGTCTGTTGCAGTTACGTCGTTCAGAGTTCTTTGGTTAGAGGAAGATGTTACCTCCTCCTGTGTACTCAGTTCAGAGGTAACCACTGATAATTCAGCTTTTGTAGACGTAACACCCAAGCTGGATTCCATGACAGTCGCAGAAGGAGTAGAGGCTGTTTCTTCGGTGCGAGCATTACTTGTGACCGGAGACCCCTGCCCACTGACACCGACAGGAGCAGTTTGCTCGCTTGCCTGAGAAGCACTCTTTGATACAGGTGAGGAGGAATAAGAGGTGCTGGATTCTGTTTTGGAGGGGTTTAAAGTCGCTTTGTCATCACCTGTTCTTGTTGTTGACAAAGGCAGCGTTGTTTCTGTGGAGAATCCAGTTGTGGCTGGACTGTTGGAAGATATTTCTGCTGGTGTCTCTGCCGTAGTACTTAGGTGAGTCATTGGATTGGTTCCTACAGAAGCTGTACTTTCATCACCCAATTCAGAAGCTACAGAAGCAGTAGAGGAGACCTTCTCCGTGAAGGCAGGTGGGGTGTTGGATTCTCTATCAGTTATGTCGCTACGTGTGCTGCCTATGAGTACTCTTTCTGTGTTTGGAACGGAGTTACTACTGCCAGTGATTTGAGAAACCTCTGTCTGCGAAGGACTATTAGTGGTGACGGTAGATGTTGCGGTTGGTGCCACTGTGCTGCTGTCCGGAATAACAGTGCTCACCGGAAGAGCTGACTTCTCTGTATCTGTGCTGGGCATCTCTGCAGTCGAACGCACTGAGGAATGGCTCAGGTCTGTTGCAGTTACGTCGTTCAGAGTTCTTTGGTTAGAGGAAGATGTTACCTCCTCCTGTGTACTCAGTTCAGAGGTAACCACTGATAATTCAGCTTTTGTAGACGTAACACCCAAGCTGGATTCCATGACAGTCGCAGAAGGAGTAGAGGCTGTTTCTTCGGTGCGAGCATTACTTGTGACCGGAGACCCCTGCCCACTGACACCGACAGGAGCAGTTTGCTCGCTTGCCTGAGAAGCACTCTTTGATACAGGTGAGGAGGAATAAGAGGTGCTGGATTCTGTTTTGGAGGGGTTTAAAGTCGCTGTGTCATCACCTGTTCTTGTTGTTGACAAAGGCAGCGTTGTTTCTGTGGAGAATCCAGTTGTGGCTGGACTGTTGGAAGATATTTCTGCTGGTGTCTCTGCCGTAGTACTTAGGTGAGTCATTGGATTGGTTCCTACAGAAGCTGTACTTTCATCACCCAATTCAGAAGCTACAGAAGCAGTAGAGGAGACCTTCTCCGTGAAGGCAGGTGGGGTGTTGGATTCTCTATCAGTGATAGTCGCTACGTGTGCTGCCTATGAGTACTTCTTTCTGTGTTTGGAACGGAGTTACTACTGCCAGTGATTTGAGAAACCTCTGTCTGCGAAGGACTATTAGTGGTGACGGTAGATGTTGCGGTTGGTGCCACTGTGCTGCTGTCCGGAATAACAGTGCTCACTGGAAGAGCTGACTTCTCTGTATCTGTGCTGGGCATCTCTGCAGTCGAACGCACTGAGGAATGGCTCAGGTCTGTTGCAGTTACGTCGTTCAGAGTTCTTTGGTTAGAGGAAGATGTTACCTCCTCCTGTGTACTCAGTTCAGAGGTAACCACTGATAATTCAGCTTTTGTAGACGTAACACCCAAGCTGGATTCCATGACAGTCGCAGAAGGAGTAGAGGCTGTTTCTTCGGTGCGAACATTACTTGTGACCGGAGACCCCTGCCCACTGACACCGACAGGAGCAGTTTGCTCGCTTGCCTGAGAAGCACTCTTTGATACAGGTGAGGAGGAATAAAAGGTGCTGGATTCTGTTTTGGAGGGGTTTAAAGTCGCTGTGTCATCACCTGTTCTTGTTGTTGACAAAGGCAGCGTTGTTTCTGTGGAGAATCCAGTTGTGGCTGGACTGTTGGAAGATATTTCTGCTGGTGTCTCTGCCGTAGTACTTAGGTGAGTCATTGGATTGGTTCCTACAGAAGCTGTACTTTCATCACCCAATTCAGAAGCTACAGAAGCAGTAGAGGAGACCTTCTCCGTGAAGGCAGGTGGGGTGTTGGATTCTCTATCAGTTATGTCGCTACGTGTGCTGCCTATGAGTACTCTTTCTGTGTTTGGAACGGAGTTACTACTGCCAGTGATTTGAGAAACCTCTGTCTGCGAAGGACTATTAGTGGTGACGGTAGATGTTGCGGTTGGTGCCACTGTGCTGCTGTCCGGAATAACAGTGCTCACCGGAAGAGCTGACTTCTCTGTATCTGTGCTGGGCATCTCTGCAGTCGAACGCACTGAGGAATGGCTCAGGTCTGTTGCAGTTACGTCGTTCAGAGTTCTTTGGTTAGAGGAAGATGTTACCTCCTCCTGTGTACTCAGTTCAGAGGTAACCACTGATAATTCAGCTTTTGTAGACGTAACACCCAAGCTGGATTCCATGACAGTCGCAGAAGGAGTAGAGGCTGTTTCTTCGGTGCGAGCATTACTTGTGACCGGAGACCCCTGCCCACTGACACCGACAGGAGCAGTTTGCTCGCTTGCCTGAGAAGCACTCTTTGATACAGGTGAGGAGGAATAAGAGGTGCTGGATTCTGTTTTGGAGGGGTTTAAAGTCGCTGTGTCATCACCTGTTCTTGTTGTTGACAAAGGCAGCGTTGTTTCTGTGGAGAATCCAGTTGTGGCTGGACTGTTGGAAGATATTTCTGCTGGTGTCTCTGCCGTAGTACTTAGGTGAGTCATTGGATTGGTTCCTACAGAAGCTGTACTTTCATCACCCAATTCAGAAGCTACAGAAGCAATAGAGGAGACCTTCTCCGTGAAGGCAGGTGGGGTGTTGGATTCTCTATCAGTGATATCGCTACGTGTGCTGCCTATGAGTACTTTTTCTGTGTTTGGAACCGTGTTACTACTGCCAGTGATTTGAGAAACCTCTGTCTGCGAAGGACTATTAGTGGTGACGGTAGATGTTGCGGTTGGTGCCACTGTGCTGCTGTCCGGAATAACAGTGCTCACCGGAAGAGCTGACTTCTCTGTATCTGTGCTGGGCATCTCTGCAGTCGAACGCACTGAGGAATGGCTCAGGTCTGTTGCAGTTACGTCGTTCAGAGTTCTTTGGTTAGAGGAAGATGTTACCTCCTCCTGTGTACTCAGTTCAGAGGTAACCACTGATAATTCAGCTTTTGTAGACGTAACACCCAAGCTGGATTCCATGACAGTCGCAGAAGGAGTAGAGGCTGTTTCTTCGGTGCGAACATTACTTGTGACCGGAGACCCCTGCCCACTGACACCGACAGGAGCAGTTTGCTCGCTTGCCTGAGAAGCACTCTTTGATACAGGTGAGGAGGAATAAAAGGTGCTGGATTCTGTTTTGGAGGGGTTTAAAGTCGCTGTGTCATCACCTGTTCTTGTTGTTGACAAAGGCAGCGTTGTTTCTGTGGAGAATCCAGTTGTGGCTGGACTGTTGGAAGATATTTCTGCTGGTGTCTCTGCCGTAGTACTTAGGTGAGTCATTGGATTGGTTCCTACAGAAGCTGTACTTTCATCACCCAATTCAGAAGCTACAGAAGCAATAGAGGAGACCTTCTCCGTGAAGGCAGGTGGGGTGTTGGATTCTCTATCAGTGATATCGCTACGTGTGCTGCCTATGAGTACTCTTTCTGTGTTTGGAACGGAGTTACTACTGCCAGTGATTTGAGAAACCTCTGTCTGCGAAGGACTATTAGTGGTGACGGTAGATGTTGCGGTTGGTGCCACTGTGCTGCTGTCCGGAATAACAGTGCTCACCGGAAGAGCTGACTTCTCTGTATCTGTGCTGGGCATCTCTGCAGTCGAACGCACTGAGGAATGGCTCAGGTCTGTTGCAGTTACGTCGTTCAGAGTTCTTTGGTTAGAGGAAGATGTTACCTCCTCCTGTGTACTCAGTTCAGAGGTAACCACTGATAATTCAGCTTTTGTCGACGTAACACCCAAGCTGGATTCCATGACAGTCGCAGAAGGAGTAGAGGCTGTTTCTTCGGTGCGAGCATTACTTGTGACCGGAGACCCCTGCCCACTGACACCGACAGGAGCAGTTTGCTCGCTTGCCTGAGAAGCACTCTTTGATACAGGTGAGGAGGAATAAGAGGTGCTGGATTCTGTTTTGGAGGGGTTTAAAGTCGCTGTGTCATCACCTGTTCTTGTTGTTGACAAAGGCAGCGTTGTTTCTGTGGAGAATCCAGTTGTGGCTGGACTGTTGGAAGATATTTCTGCTGGTGTCTCTGCCGTAGTACTTAGGTGAGTCATTGGATTGGTTCCTACAGAAGCTGTACTTTCATCACCCAATTCAGAAGCTACAGAAGCAGTAGAGGAGACCTTCTCCGTGAAGGCAGGTGGGGTGTTGGATTCTCTATCAGTTATGTCGCTACGTGTGCTGCCTATGAGTACTCTTTCTGTGTTTGGAACGGAGTTACTACTGCCAGTGATTTGAGAAACCTCTGTCTGCGAAGGACTATTAGTGGTGACGGTAGATGTTGCGGTTGGTGCCACTGTGCTGCTGTCCGGAATAACAGTGCTCACTGGAAGAGCTGACTTCTCTGTATCTGTGCTGGGCATCTCTGCAGTCGAACGCACTGAGGAATGGCTCAGGTCTGTTGCAGTTACGTCGTTCAGAGTTCTTTGGTTAGAGGAAGATGTTACCTCCTCCTGTGTACTCAGTTCAGAGGTAACCACTGATAATTCAGCTTTTGTAGACGTAACACCCAAGCTGGATTCCATGACAGTCGCAGAAGGAGTAGAGGCTGTTTCTTCGGTGCGAGCATTACTTGTGACCGGAGACCCCTGCCCACTGACACCGACAGGAGCAGTTTGCTCGCTTGCCTGAGAAGCACTCTTTGATACAGGTGAGGAGGAATAAGAGGTGCTGGATTCTGTTTTGGAGGGGTTTAAAGTCGCTGTGTCATCACCTGTTCTTGTTGTTGACAAAGGCAGCGTTGTTTCTGTGGAGAATCCAGTTGTGGCTGGACTGTTGGAAGATATTTCTGCTGGTGTCTCTGCCGTAGTACTTAGGTGAGTCATTGGATTGGTTCCTACAGAAGCTGTACTTTCATCACCCAATTCAGAAGCTACAGAAGCAATAGAGGAGACCTTCTCCGTGAAGGCAGGTGGGGTGTTGGATTCTCTATCAGTGATATCGCTACGTGTGCTGCCTATGAGTACTCTTTCTGTGTTTGGAACCGTGTTACTACTGCCAGTGATTTGAGAAACCTCTGTCTGCGAAGGACTATTAGTGGTGACGGTAGATGTTGCGGTTGGTGCCACTGTGCTGCTGTCCGGAATAACAGTGCTCACCGGAAGAGCTGACTTCTCTGTATCTGTGCTGGGCATCTCTGCAGTCGAACGCACTGAGGAATGGCTCAGGTCTGTTGCAGTTACGTCGTTCAGAGTTCTTTGGTTAGAGGAAGATGTTACCTCCTCCTGTGTACTCAGTTCAGAGGTAACCACTGATAATTCAGCTTTTGTAGACGTAACACCCAAGCTGGATTCCATGACAGTCGCAGAAGGAGTAGAGGCTGTTTCTTCGGTGCGAACATTACTTGTGACCGGAGACCCCTGCCCACTGACACCGACAGGAGCAGTTTGCTCGCTTGCCTGAGAAGCACTCTTTGATACAGGTGAGGAGGAATAAAAGGTGCTGGATTCTGTTTTGGAGGGGTTTAAAGTCGCTGTGTCATCACCTGTTCTTGTTGTTGACAAAGGCAGCGTTGTTTCTGTGGAGAATCCAGTTGTGGCTGGACTGTTGGAAGATATTTCTGCTGGTGTCTCTGCCGTAGTACTTAGGTGAGTCATTGGATTGGTTCCTACAGAAGCTGTACTTTCATCACCCAATTCAGAAGGTACAGAAGCAGTAGAGGAGACCTTCTCCGTGAAGGCAGGTGGGGTGTTGGATTCTCTATCAGTTATGTCGCTACGTGTGCTGCCTATGAGTACTCTTTCTGTGTTTGGAACGGAGTTACTACTGCCAGTGATTTGAGAAACCTCTGTCTGCGAAGGACTATTAGTGGTGACGGTAGATGTTGCGGTTGGTGCCACTGTGCTGCTGTCCGGAATAACAGTGCTCACCGGAAGAGCTGACTTCTCTGTATCTGTGCTGGGCATCTCTGCAGTCGAACGCACTGAGGAATGGCTCAGGTCTGTTGCAGTTACGTCGTTCAGAGTTCTTTGGTTAGAGGAAGATGTTACCTCCTCCTGTGTACTCAGTTCAGAGGTAACCACTGATAATTCAGCTTTTGTCGACGTAACACCCAAGCTGGATTCCATGACAGTCGCAGAAGGAGTAGAGGCTGTTTCTTCGGTGCGAGCATTACTTGTGACCGGAGACCCCTGCCCACTGACACCGACAGGAGCAGTTTGCTCGCTTGCCTGAGAAGCACTCTTTGATACAGGTGAGGAGGAATAAGAGGTGCTGGATTCTGTTTTGGAGGGGTTTAAAGTCGCTGTGTCATCACCTGTTCTTGTTGTTGACAAAGGCAGCGTTGTTTCTGTGGAGAATCCAGTTGTGGCTGGACTGTTGGAAGATATTTCTGCTGGTGTCTCTGCCGTAGTACTTAGGTGAGTCATTGGATTGGTTGTGCCATTGCCTGTTCTTGTTGTTGACAAAGACTGCGTTTGAGTCGTTGTGATAGATGATTCAGTGGTAGCACTACTTTCATTGCTAGTAGTCATAACTTCATAAGATACTTGTCCTGGAATAGTTTTTTTGAGAAAAAATTATTATTGTAGTTTGACTTTATACATTTTAGTTTGTATTCTTTATTTTAAAAGTAGGTGTTATTAAATTTTATTAATACTATATTTTTGTTCTTAAACAATATTAATTTCACTTCATATGGGTTTTTGAAAGACAAAGCTGCACTACATTTGTATTCATAATAATTTTTTTATCCTTTGATCTTAAATAGTTTCTGTATTTTTCTTGCAATATTTCCAATTTATGCATTTATGTCTAGACTTAATAGCCATTCAAAAGGCATTTCGGAATTAGTGGTTGACTTGGCTATTTTCAGCATCAGCATTCATAAAGCAGATAATGTTAAGTAAACTTATAATTTTCCGTTTGTGAGCTATTCAACCCTTAGAGTGTATCTGTTGAACTGGAGAAATTTAGTATTAAAATCTCACAAGCTCCTAATTTAATCAATTCCATAAAGTATTCTGAACAAACTGTGTTTTATAAATCAAATTTCTACACACACAAGAAAATTTGTGAAATTCATAAATCATGAACGAGGCCCCAAGAAACCCTGCAATTCACTTAAAATCATCAGATTTTTTAAAAATCATTCATTTCTGGTTCTTTTTCTTTCCCTTCTTGTTTCTGAGCCTTCCATGTCCACTCAGGCCATATTTTCACCCTTTTCTTCTCACAATAATGAGGGCTAGAATCTAGAATCTTATTTAGGAAAAAAAACCTGAAACTCACTTTTCTCCAAGAGCTGGGCTTTCAGTAAAATATCACAAAACTTGCTATAAAATCACAAGACCTGGTAACATTGCACCGTATATTACAATTTGGCAGCCCATTAGCCTAGCCCACTAGTCTGGCTAGTGTCATCACTGTTCAAAATAGAGCTGAGCAAGGGAAAAATTTGTAAATTTTGAACTGAACCTGAATGTTTACATTTTTTCCTTGCTGAAACAAAAAACAAATTGTCGTTTTGAAACAAATGTTGAAACATCTCATTTTCAAAAAAAAAATCTTTTTTTCAGGCCCAAATTATTCTCCAAAGTGGCAAATAGTTTTGGTGCCCCTCCCCCCAAAAACGCCCCAAATTTACTATTCACCAAAAAATTTCACCCAGCTGTAGTTCTCAATCAAATATTGTTGCTTTAAAGTTTATATAAATAAGGCTACAGGATTATTAATAAAGTCTTCGGACCTGACTGTCCCCTGTTTTGCAAATTGTGTGGTCATTTACACCCAAATTGGAATAGTAGCATTTTACACCCCTTTGGCACAGATGTAAGCAACAACACAGGATACAAGGTAGTGGAGAATCTGGCTCCTAGTCTTTATATTAGCTATTATTAAATATGTATAAATCAAAACAATTGCTTTTGTGTGCACAAAGAATGCCAGAATTTCTTCTCTGCCTTTGATCCACCCTCAAACTTACCAATATCCCCTCCCCCATCCAGGGCTGTCCCTAGCTATTCTGGGGCTCTACGCAGCTCCCCATGGGGCGGGAGGGGTGGCTTGTGGGGAGTGGGGAACCGGCCCGCAGTACTCACCGGCGGCACAGCTGGGGCCAGGTTGCTGCACTTCCCACCACCAGTGAGTGCAGGCCCAGCCCTGCTGCAGTCCTCAGGGGAGTGGAGGCAGAGCTGGGGCAGGGCGGAGGCTTTGGGGAAGGGGTGGAGGGGGTGCAGGGCTGGGGGAAGAGCAGGTGTGAGAAGAGGCAGGGCTGTGGCGGACCAGGGGCAGGGACCATGGAGAAGAGGTGGGGCAGGGGCTGGAGCAGCACGCAGCTGTGTAGGACACCAGGAAATTTAGTGCCCCAAATTTTCTGGTGCCCTATGGAGCTCCGTACTTCGCGTATGGGTATGGACAGGCCTTCCCCCCCCGCACTCTCAAGTGACTGTATGGTAGAATAGAGGAAGCTGTCAGGGTTCCTTCCCCTCTCTGAACCCTAGGGAACAGATGTGAGGACCCGCATGGAAGACCCCCTAAGCTTATTCTTATCAGCTTAGGTTAAAAACTTCCCCAAGGTACAAACTTTGCCTTGTCCTTGAACAGTATGCTGTCACCACCAAGCGTTTTAAACAAAGAACAGGGAAAGAGCCCACTTGGAGACGTCTTCCCCCAAAATATCCCCCCAAGCCCTATACACCCCCTTTCCTGGGGAGGCTTGAGAATAATATCCTAACCAATTTGTTACTAAATCATCAAAGACCCAAGCCCCTGGATCTTGGAACAATGGAAAAATCAGTCAGGTTCTTAAAAGAAGGATTTTATTTAAAAAAAAAAAAAAAAAGAAAGGTAAAAATCATCTCTGTAAAATCAGGATGGAAAATACTTTACAGGGTATTCAGTCAGAGTCAAAACACAGAGTATGTGCCATGTATGAGTAAATATTAACTATTGAAGCTGACAACCATGTGTGAAAGTAGATTTCAACATCTCCGACAGCTCCTAACATTTCTTTTTAGAGTGTAGACAGTGCAGTTTCTACTGTGGCAAAGTATTCACAAATAATACAAAGTACAGTAACTACTAGTGTCATATTCTCATCTTGCTAAGTCTGCCCTGACTTGTAGTTGTGTGGAGTTTAGCCTCCATGACTATTATCTATCTTTAATATTATCTGTTAGGAGCACTCTTTCTAATAAGCCAGCAATTTGATTTTGACTGTGTAAGTGTTTAGAAACAAAGTGCCAGATCCTCAGCGGGTATAAATCAGAGTACATCTCTTTGAAGCCATCTTGGAGTCTACCATAGCATAGGAAATGTCTATTATGTTAGTGTTTTTCAAATATACCATAACATATCAAATCATTCCTACTGCACTAGGATACACTTTCTGATCCAATATACAGACTGAACTGTAGGATACAGCTTGTGTAGTTTTCTGTGTCACATTAGTAAGTACTGAATAGTGGCAAAAACTATTACCGGTGCTACATTAGATTATAAGGTGTTTTAAAACATTCTCTAATAGAAGAAAATCATTTTTATGAAATGCCTCAGAATTTCTAAATATTATCTCAAAAACAATTGCTGTAGAGGGACAGTGTAGGACAGCACAAGTAGCATAATCCACGTTCTACTACTAAAGTCTTCCCAAAAGATTCTTTGGTGGGGGTAAAAAGACTGGCAAGGAAGGGGTGCCATTCATATTTCTCATAGATGACAAAATAAGACCTAAGGCTAAATAAATAAATAAATTTTCACACAGAACAGCCAGACACTGTGTTGTGCTGTTGAAATGAAAGACTGTCAGATACTGTCCTTTATTTCAAATTTTCTACTGACTGCAGACTTTATGTACAGACTCAATACCTTGTTGAATACTGAGACACAGTGCAAACTAAAAACAAATCCTAATGGGAAATATTAAGCAGTTTGCGTCCTTTTAGCCTGTTTCAGTTACTGAAATCTGTTTCAGTAGCCTTTATATTATACTCTTAATGTAGAACATTGCATAAAAACATATAACAATATATTTAGTCCAATTGAATATTAACTTACCCAGCAAAACACAGAGAATGAAATGCCATAAATACTTCCAAGTCCCCATGATTACTTTGGTCTCCTTTCTGTACTAGTCCCATTTGTGAAACTGACATTATGGATTGAAGGCTTTGGTGTTATAAACAGGGTGAGGCTGCATACGTTGTTACATTTCAACCTGAGGAAATTCCTCACACTCTCAGGAGCTGAAGCTTGTTTTGCAATCCAGCCAGTCTAACGAAGTGTATGCACCTGACCTGAACAGTTATAAATTCTAAATTGTTGTTCAAGTTGGTTGGTTGTTTGCTTGTGTTCTTTAATATCACAAAGTTAGAGACAGATCCAAAGCCAGCTGAAGTCAATGGAAAGACTCCCATTGAATTCAGTGGGCTTTGTATCAAGCTCTAAATTCATTGTATTATTTGTGTATTCATGTGGGGATTTGGTAAGTATGCTTTTATAATTGGGAGGTCAGCTCCTGAATGGAGCAAGGGCAGCTAAGGATCTGGCACACTACATAATGTATATATTGTTTATCATCTAGAGAAGTTGAAGTCTTTTAAATAATAATTAATTAGAACTCACGTTATCTCTGTGAAATTGGTATGTACTATTGTCCCCATTTTATAGATAGGAACCGATAAGTTAAGCGAATTTCCCAGCACCACACAGCAAGTCAACAGAAGACACAGCAATGGAACTCTGGCGCCCCGATTCCCAGATTGTTGTTCTAACCACTAGACAAAACTCTGTGTCCCAAAACTTCCAGTATTTTGTATTATTTGGCATTGGATATTGATGTATTCAATGCAACGCATCATTTCGTCATTAAGAACTGTGTAATGGAGTAAAATTGCAAACCATTGTACATTCAGAATACGTTTCTCAGGCCTGATTCTTCATTGCCCAGCATTTTGTGTAAAGGGATTACAAAATAGGTGTGAAATGCTTCCCAGTTAGAATTCTCTGACCACTCATACCCTGACAGCAGCATTGTGCATCTCTTTGAACAAGAGGCAAGACACTGGCAAATCAAGCCCCTTAGTTTTTGCTAAACTTGTTCCCATTTTCCTTAGCAGCCCAGCCAGCTCCTTTTCATGGGAAAGATGTTGGCCATCTCCTAGGCCAGCTCCTAAGCCAAAGTAGCTGGGCACTGAGGCAGATGCAAGGGAAGAAATAACCTCTCGTCCTGCACTGGCTGCAGAGTGGCTGCATGGAGACTAGCTCAGTAGCTTGCTGGTCTGACAGAAAGCCTAGGCCTTTGTGAAACTGCAGCCTCTACACTGTCTTCAGCTACTAGTTTATGCTACATTTAATCATTTTTAAAACAGGCTTTCCTGGCTCTGGAGGTGTGTTGTTAAAGGGTCTGATTAGATGATTTTCAGTGTAATATTTTTCAAAGACACAACATCTCTCAGCACTCCCCAGTATCCGGAGAGCACAGCTCTTGCTCTGCCACTTAGACAGGTGCAGCATGTGCTTGCCTCCACTAGGG